GCCAAATAGAACACAAAGGTCCATGCCACATCACACTATAGAATGAAAGTTGGTCTGCTCCCTAAGCCTTGACTTCCTGGTGGAAAACTGGGAATGAAGGAGGGCTCTAAGAAAGGATGAAACGTGCTCCACTCCTCCATTCCCTAATCACCCCTCTTTTCCCGACACCCTAAATGCTGGACTACGAAATATGAAAGTTTCCATGTTCTTTTCATGTCCTCCATCCTCACCAACCACCAGCAACTTCAACAGAGCCGCTTGCCTTGGACACAGCCTCTTTGGCTGACCAAATCCGCTGAAAGACGGCCTCGGTGATTGATTCCTCATGATTCCTCCATATTGTGAGTTGATAAAAGTTCGTTCCCTGGTAGTTCTCACTTGTAGGCACCCTCAAGAGGAGGCCTCGGAGAGCTACATACAAAGGTGACAAAAGGTAGTTCTAACGGGCCGTATTATGATGGGGACGCGGCACGGGAGCATAATTCTGACAACCCACCATCTAGAGCTCCTAGGATTTACGGCTAAGGCGACTGTAGAGCGAAACAAAGACAATGAGAAGTGGATCACTGTTGTGGAACCAAAAAATGTGAGGCTCTTCTTAGAGGTAACCAAGGACCGCCGAAGACAGAATCTGACGATTACAGATCTGACCTGGTCCTCATTACACTTCCTTCTCTCATGCGGAGACACAGGCTTAAAACATACTACTCTCTTCCCAACGTTTCATTTTCTTCGGTGGTTGTAGAGAGGCAAACGTCGTCACTAGCTTTGCAAAGGAAATGGAGCTAGCGAATATGTTCTTGCTACCTCCAGGATACATGCAAACTTTCGCACGTCTCACATGCATGCTCACACACGTGCACGACAATATCTGCATATGTACATGTATGAACACACATTTATATCATGTACAGGATGCAAACTTGATTCAAGGGCATCCCTGTTGGGTATACAAGGTACCTCTAGGTGCCGAATCCGCCAGATACCCCAGTTTTCATTTCATGTTCCATGCGCTTTTCCATTTGGGATACCCCCCATTTAACCCCTATGTATAATCCCATGTAACCCTACATGCTCCCGATATAACCCCCTTATACCCTATATGCAGTACATATGCCCGTCAGGCACGCGGCATATCGAACGGAGCTCGAGCTACTCTTGATGTTCTCCCGCTCTGTGTCAGTCAGAACGGCCTGCAAGTCCTCCAGGCAATACACTGCGCCAAACTTCCTTTTGAGCTAGGAATGAAGGAATGGATCCTTATAGCTGTCCCTATATAACCCATTATAGTAGTTTCCATGTTCTTTTCCATTCCTCCTTCATTCCCATTTAACTAAAGGCAAGAAACGCAAGAGGCCATCATTCATCATTTGAGCTACAGTCTAAACTCCTAATATCCCACTTAATAGTCCCTATAATGCTGCCCTATACAATCCATACAGCACACACCTTTAAGGCGTTTAGACCCTAAATCCTTAACCCTAAACCCCACATTCATAATTCCCTTTAAGGAGTTTAGACCCTAAACCCTGAACCCCATAGAATCCCGTTTAAGGAGTTTAGACGATAGCTCATTTGAGGGATCCCATCTTTATGGTACACAGCTACGTGACCGTGAGCTGTTGGCATCTCTTGGGGCCTGGTACCAGGTCTCGTCTTCGCGCTCCCCGCGCTCTTGCTGCGGTGCCGAGACGTCAGCACCTGCAAACAGCAAAGATGCATGGTGATGGCTTCCATGTGGTACAAATATAGGAATTGACCCGATAGTAATGGTTATCATTATGTGTGTGTACATGAGAAATCCAGCAGCGGGAGCGCCACCACCATCGCCACCATTACCGTTTCTACGCCTTCTTGCTGCTACTGCAAAGTACAACTACTACAACCACTACTACTTCTTCTTAAGCTACTACCACTACCACTCGTCCCCCAATGCTTCTACTGCTCGTAGCAACATCACCAGCCCACTGATATACAGCTACAGCTATGCTGTTGTTACTACAATTATTGCTATTTGCTCTACTGGTATGTAACCTGTTCTTTTGACGTGTCCTTATTTGAACCGCATCTTGGCCAGCCCGAGGCTCCAGAAAAGGTTGGCAGCTGAGGTCCGGACCTACGAGGAAGATGGAATCACTGGCCAAAACTACCCAGTTGCCATCGTGCGAGATGTTGAAGTTGAAGTTCCTCAAGCCACAGGGAACTACATGGGGGGAGGAGCGGATACCATTTGATTCCGTTTTGCAGGGGAGATAGGTGGTATCCCAGATCCCTCTTAGAAGTTATGCGGCCAAGGCTCGGCAACGTCGTGGGCAGCGGTGCAAGCAGAAAAGGCTTCTTGCCTTTTGTGCCTAAGTTGTTGTGTTTTAGGGTTTTTTTGGGGTCTCTCCATCAGCCTCAAGCCTTGTCCAAAGTATATGGGCCGCAAGACACCAGTCAAGCCCGTCCACTTGGTAGTTCAAAACACTCCCGGGGGTCCCACATGTACAATCCCACAAGACTTCAGAGCAGGAAGCTCATGTGGGTTCTTCTCCAAATTATGGGCCCCTTTTGGTTACAGATTATATTACGGCACCTAATACTTGGGAGTACCAAAATGGGACCCTAATGTTGGTAACTACCCATTTCCAGACATTCCCTGTGCACCAAGGCACGGCCGATCTGGATCCCGGCAAAGTCTGACTGGCCCAACGCCTCTCAGACACTGCAGGAAAGGTATATCCAGATTGCATTGAACGTGGGTTCCTACATGTCAGGTTCGCCAGCAAAACATGAGTTCGCTCACAGGAACTGCATTCTAAACTCCTGAAAGCGGGTTATATAGCGGATTTTATAGAGGAGCGTTATGAAGGGGGATACAGGGAGTTCAGACTATAGCTGACATAGCGGGCGGCACCTGGCCTGAGCGCATGCTCTCAGGGCCAGCAGTCGTCCCAACAGAGTTCGCTTACGGTCTTGCCTTTGCTGCAATGAGCTCATCAAGGGTGGGAGGGGATACATAGCATCATAAACAGATTCACGTGAATTGTGACCCTGGGGTCCTGGCAGAGCTCTGTAGGCCATGATGGACTCCTGCTCCTCTGGACTCAATAACGACAACCTCAGTGCAGCAAGGTGACCAAACATTCCCACGCGCCGCCCAAAATGCTGTAAAAAATGCTGTGTTGGGTTTGCTCTATATTTGGCTTCTAACCGCTTCCCGCCAATATTATAAACTCTAGCAGCTTCAGTGCCCCAAACAAGGCTTACCTCCGCCTACAGGGAAAATATTTTAAAAAAATCTATGAGCTATAGTCTGAACTCCTAGTATCCCCTTAATAACCCCCATAGTAGTCCCTTATATAATCCACTATATAACCCCCCTTTAAGGAGGTTAGACTATAGCTCATATAGCTTATACGCCCCAGCAGCAATAGTTGGAACTCCTCCCCGTCAGCTCCTCCCAGAGGCTTCCAGCTGTTGATGTTCACAGCCCAGCGGAAGCCTTGCGAAGCATTTTCGTTGTTATTCTTGAGGTGGACCCCCCACCCAGTAATAGTGACTATTATGGATAATAAGGACTATATTAGGGTCCTCTTCTATTCCTACTATACCACTATTACAGGGTGGGGGGTCCTCCTAAGTTATTCTGATTACTGCTATTGCCATTGTTATTGTTATTTCTACTTTTTGCATTGTTACTGTCATTGCTGATGTCATGCGATTTCCAAGAGTTGGGCGTCCCTTGCTGCGGTTTAGGGCTGGGGGTCCCTCAGGCTGTAGTTTCCGAAGACCTATAATAGCAATAGTATTGTTAACATTTCCTTAAGGTGGAATAATATAATACAAATTAAAAATAGTTCCTAAGGAAAGTACAGGTAACAGTCTATATTAGAGGCCTTGTTAGGGGCTATATACATATATAACCATATACTTAAGACTATCCAATTGTTGAAGAGTGGGTACATGAGGAATGGGGGTGGGTATGGACTTCAAACCAAGGCCCCTGCGCGCAGATACCGGGCCGTCCCAGAAGCTGCTGGGGGCCTGTGTGATTTTCTGAGTGTAGGGGTTTAGGGATTTAGGGTTGTGGGGCTCAGGGTTTAGAAGTTTTGGGGTTTAGGGTTTGGGGGTTTGGGGGTTTAGGGTATCCATGACAAGCCCCATTAAGAATACAATGCCAACCAGTGACAGAAGTCACGGTGATGACACCATACTACTGATTCTGATCATACTCACTGGTGTCTCAGCAAGTTGGGGTTATCATGATAACGCTGAATTCACTTTACTTCCGTGGGCGTTTATGTATGTTAATTTACTTGTGACTTCCACCCAGAAGGACCTTGCCTGCAGCGAGTATTTCCCCAGCTCCTCCAGCAGCTCACAGGAGAGGACCCGGGCTTAGAAACAGCGCTCAGAACTACATTGGGGCATTGGGCTCTGCTTTGTACCTACGTCCCACTGCAGTGACGGAACAGAGGAATCTCATGACTTCCGGAACAAGACTCCTCCAATTCCTGGTCCAAAGATCCTTCAAAAAGTCTAAACTCTCAATAGAAAGGATGTCCACAAAATTCTTCACCCAGAATGTTAAAATAGCTTGGTGTAAACTCATGCGTAGAAGTAGCAGCAGCAGCAGCAGCAGCAGCAACCTCGACAACGACGACGACGAGAAAAAAGCAAAACAATAACAAAAAGACCTGAACCGCTAAAGGATCCGAAAAATGGAACTCCCTAGTAATCCCCTAGTTACCCCAATGTAGTCATGGGTTCAAATGGGGGGGGGGTCCATTTGTTGAATCCTTTAGGGGGTCTGGGAAGGCCTGAACCCTAAACCCCAAACCCTGAACCCTAAACCCTGAACCCCAAAACCCAAAACCCTAAACCCTAAGCAGGCACTCCTCCAGGAGCTCATTGGCGAGGGGAGCTGAGAGCCATGTGTTGGAAACATTCTGCCCCATGGTGCCCAAGCGACAGATGGGATATCAGAACCCAGACTCCTGGGCGAATCTAGAAAATCAGAACCCCCTCTTATGGGATTCTAGAAATTACGCTATGGTAGTATAGGGTACCATATTGGGGGTTCTGCTTTCTAGATCCTCCCAGGGGACTGGGAAAGAGTTGCACTTCGTCTTGCAGGGTCTTGCACAGGCCTTCTAACTTTTATCATAAGTTGCATCATAAGTGACATTAGTAGATAGACAGAGCGCTTTTTCAGCAAATAACTGTTCGGCTAGCCGGCTAGAGACTTTTGTTGCTGGCAATGCGCGCACATCTGATTCTCATGACCTGTCATAAGTGTTGACTGCGAGCCGGCGCTTGCTAAGTCTTTCGGCCGCGCTTCAGTCTCAGCAGCTTCCCTTTCAACAATGCGTATATAGCAGTTTCCACGTTCTTTTCCATTATCCCTATCTATATCTGTGTGTACATGTATATATATACATATATATATATATTTTTTTCAGGGTAACATCCCTGCAACCCGATGTGGCCCTAGAAACCCCTGTATCACGTGCACTCGGGGCAAGGAACATTGCTTCACGTGAAAGCTCTCTGTTTTTCGGTCAGCGTGGCTTGTGACGCGAAAGGACGTATGCGCCTCTGTGCCTTTGGCACAGCTCGCAACCTGATTGTCACCTGCGCCAGGGTCGTGCCTGGCCTGCCAAAATGTGAAGCCTGGTTCCCCCCCTGCCACTTTGTAGGCGTCGGGAAGCAACCTGGCTGTGCAACAGCTGCTAAGGAGACGTGCGTGAGGTGTCATAGACTTAGTAAGCAACCTGGTAAGCCATCACAGCTCATCCATCTTGGATGGTAGGTGCTCTTCGGTTTCAACAACCGGTGCAGCTGGTAGCCTTTACTTTACACGTTTGCAGCTTTTTGCAACTCTGTACACGCAAGGATCTGTAGGCTATCGGCCAGGACACGCTCCATCAGAGCGTATCCAAGCAGTCAAAAGAACACACAATCGATTCCCATAATACGTGTGTTTTCTCGCAGTCGGCCGAACGTCCTAGCGCGGTTCGTCAACTGCAAGTATTTGGACTCATTCGGGCGGCAATGCCGCATTCCGTGCAACATGCAGTAGTGCAGCCTAAACCGGCTGGCGCATGGTCAGCCAATCATGACGGCCGCCAGTCAAATCAAATCAAATCAATAGAGGAGGCCGGCGGGTGTAGATGACGCAGCTGTAAGGGTGGAGGAACCTTGCCGCATTAGGACTGAAGGGCAGCATCCATCAATCCCACAAATATCCAGCTACGCCTGAAAAGCATTCTGGGCCAGAATCCCGGCCCCAAACCCTCCCAACTCCAGGGTACCCCCATCCGGGATGCTGTTACCTACATGTACAAGGTCTTATGATAGGGGGCTGCGAGACTTGACTAGGTGTGGGGTTGTTGCCTAACTCCACTTCCAAGACAACCCCGCGAAAAAATCCCTGAGAAGGCTGAGAAGGCTGAGAAGGGAAGACATGCTTGCCAAACCATTTCCAACTGCCAAGAAGCAAGTCGGTGCTGGTAGTGGTCTTGTCTTCTTCGGGATTCAGATGGAAGACTGTAGCACTGTTGTGGTAGCGCGCATCTGCCGAGTTAAAGGCAAGAAACCACTCAGCTGGGAATGGAAACGTCAATTGGTGGTGGCTCAAGAACTTGCGCTGGAAGTTGAACACTGCCAACACATCATCACCCGGACCACCAAGGTCCCAGCGGTGAACCAGCAACACTTTGTTCTCCTCATCAATGGTCACATTTACCCCTTCACCTTGGAGCCCTCTGCTTGTGTTCAGCAAGTTGCGACGTAAGCTGATCAAATCCTTATGAAGGCTGAAGGTGCCCGCATGGGTAGTCTTCATGGCCCAATCAAAAGGGGAGCCTGCAGAGAATGCATCTTCAATCAGGAAATCTTGGCCCTGGAACAACATGGGGATGCCTGGGCTTACCATCACCAACGCGGATCCCAGGGCTGCCAGGCGTGCAGCCATCCAAGACTGCTGTCGTCCGGGGGAGACCACTGAAGGGAGTCTCTGCCTACCTGCCTCATCATGGCTTTCGACATAGATGATCCGGTGGAGGGATCCATGGGACCCAAGCTCACCTAGCACTGCATCTCTCAACCTGTCCATGCGCCTATCTTGGTCCTTCTCTTTTGCCAGGACATGAAATACCGGCCAGTGAAAGGAGCCATCCCACTGGCTGTCGAAACCCAGACCCCCACTAGAAATCTCTTCGGTAAGCGTCAAATTGCCCTGTAAGTCCTCTGCAATCATCAGCTTTCCCTCAAGCTTGTGAGCAGTCTCGGTCACCTCCTTAAGCATTTGCTCCCCTTCTGGGTTGAAGGTGGCTGAGCTGCGGTTGGTCTCGGAGCCACCCCATAATCGGATGAAGCTGACCCCGTCCACTCGCAAGCCATCGCAGTGCATTGTGTCCAGCCAAAACAGCACATTGTCCCTGATGTAAGACCTCACATGCTCCAAGCCGTAGTTGGGACGCGTATGGGCCCATGGTGTCTCCGCCCTCTCATCATTGTAGAAATAGATCCCACCAAGGTCGTTCTCAAACCAGCCGTCGAAGCGCCATAAGGGCAGGTCCATTGGGCCCAAGTGGTTGTAGACAACATCCATGATCACCGCTATGCCTGCATTGTGGCATGCATTAACGAAGCGCTTGAAGGCGTCTGGCCCTCCATAGGCGTGTTCGACCGCAAAGGGATAGGCTGTCGTGTATCCCCAACCAACCTCACCATCAAACTCTGCAACAGGCATCAGCTCTACTGCGTTGATGCCAAGCTCAAGTAAGTGATCCAGCTTTGGGATGCACATGTCCAAAGTCGCACTGCCCGACCAACCTTCGTGGCCGCAAAAAGTGCCAACATGAAGCTCATAGAGGACTAGCGTCCGCCAGTCTGGCATTGACCATCCTTCATCAGACCATTGGAAGCTGTCATCCGAGTAAACCAATGAGTTTCCCAATGTCTCGCCATCTTGCTTCCTTGACCATGGGTCTGGGCGCCAGTATGCCTGGCCATCTTGGGAGATGATATGGATCTTGTAGGCACCCCGTCGAATGAGGTAGTCTCTGGTGGCATCTGCTGGCAAGTTCAACACCCACCACCCATCACCTTCTGGGTTGCTGTTAAATACGTTCCTTGAATGCCTCTAGTCTCCCAGTTTCCATGTCATTCTTAATTTTCTTTTCCATTTGATTCTCCATAACAGGGGGAAAGTATAGTAACTTAAAGTAAGTTCCGAAACAGCAACCCAGCCTTGCTGCACCAGCTGGTGAGCCGGCAACCAAGCGGTCCAGGACGCCGCCACAGAAACGCGTTGAGCGTGAGGCGCGTAGATTCGCGCTTCTGCGCCGCCCTCCGGAAGAGCGTGAAAGCCTTCGCCATGCCTCTCGCCAAATGCGGTTACGGCAATGAGGATCAAAAGCCTCAGAGGTGCAAAGTTTGATTTGCTCTGCATGCAGGTTAAGGGGTAGCAGTACGCCCTCTAAGTGTTATGAGTGTGCCGACCATTCACAGCAGCTGGCAGCATGTGCAAGTCAAAGTGCGAGCATTAGCCCGAAAAGGCATGCGTGCTGGACCCAAACAGGGGTCCCACCCACCCACCCCCACCCCCGCACATGCAGCAATCATAAGGCCCGCCGTGTGTCCAGGAACCTTTCAGGGCGACAAACTCAAAGGTTGTAAGTTGTACCTCAAAAGCGTATACGCTATCCTCAACCTCTAGCTCCGCAGGAATACGTATTTCTTGGAGCCGCCACACAAAGAGTTCTGGCAAAGCCCCCACCCTCTCATCTGTTCTGCCTCTCACCCTTGCTAGGTAGAGTGCAATCATTCGTTACGGCGACTGACTGGAAGCACTGGCATACCATTAGTGGAAGCACGAAATTGCGGCGAGAGGCTTCAGGAGCCCGGGTGGTAGAGCCCACATGGCACAAATGGACAAACTACAGGCGCAGGCTCAGCTAGAATTGCCCTCCAGTCCACGCTGAGCTTCACGTGCGCCACGCTTTGGGCCACTCAGCTTGCGGGCAGCACAATTCACCAACATGCATGACTGCAGTGCAGATGCATAAGCTAACGCGCTCGCCGGTGCCAAGCCGGAATGGGGGAGGGAATAAAGGTATCGTTTTTGTAGGGGTGGTTTGGCAATTTCCCTGAATAAGAGAACTCAAATATTGATTATAGCCCTTATTGTCGTAACCACCAACTCCCCCACTCCTGACTCAGTAAGAAGACCGAGCTGTTTTGTCACAAGACATTGCATGGCTCAGGTGCGAGAAGCCATCTTCCCTTTGCTCAAGGAGGAAGAAATTATGGCGGCCACCTGGAAAGAAACAACAATGTGAGTACTGAGTAGTCTTGGTAATTCAACCAAGTAGGACATGTTTCTTCTGCAGAGTACTATACCCAAAGTTCATCAGGAGGACAGAATCTTACTCTTATTGGAGACAATAGGATCCCGCATCCACCTGTGGCTCGAATCCATTAGAAACACCAAGCTCTACGTGGGGAGCTCTCAACATGACCACACATGCGGTTATCCCAGTTCTCCAGCTTAAGATTAGGGAGGGTGGCGCACTTGCGCCTTTACGACGCACCCTTCGCAAGCAAGGCCTTTTTTGAGGCTTGTTTGCTACCATCATGGGAGTGTTCAGGGGCGAGTGATTTTTCGCACCCAAGCGGTTCGTAGGTTGCAGTAAAGTCCATGCAGGTAGACTCAGTAGACCCGCATTTATGCCGCATATTGGTTCACAGGCTGCTGGGCTAGCGTAGGCGTATTTCATCTCCAGCGCGCTTGGGGTAATCCCCTCCCCTAATATTGAACGCCCCCAATCCCCTAACTTTAAGTACTCCCAATATATTGTGATACAACACAATGTGGAATATTTACTATTAGGGTGGTGGGGGGGTTTAATATTCGGGGAGGGGATTAGCCTCGCACATGTGTGGCAGCCTCTCCTGCTCGATATAAGATTGTGCAGGACCCTCCGGCCAACAGAACATGCTGGAGCAACAGGGCTGTTCTATACTGTTCTTGACTTGGACATCTTTGACTTCATCATCTTAATCACTTAGACATCTGCCCAATCAAATCCTGCAGTTCTTCGATCCCGCTCTCCTGAGGGTTGCAAACTTGACATCGGTCCATCGACTCCCTTCAGCATCTGAGCAATCTGAGGTCCCCGTTTTTGCCCCTCCAGCAAATTGAGCCCTTCGTTGTAGGCTGTGGCAACAGGACGCATAAGCTTGACACGGTTTGACCAACAAAGAGGCAAGGTTAGAGAGCTCTGGGACTTTTCCACTATGCCAGGCGGATGCGCTTGGTCCGAGTCGGGGTATCGGAAGGTTCTGCTGCGTGAGATTCCGACTTCTCGGAACCCACAGAGCAGGGCGCATTGCTAGGCGCCCCAGAAAAACTGGCCTCTGTCTTCCGGCGCTTGGTTTCCAGCCCCGAGCTCAGCCGCGACTGGACCTTGCCGTGGCTCGAACGCGGTTGCCAGGACTCGCTGTCATCAGACGCAGACCGGGTCCTCTTAGACCTGCCTGTGCTTTGCAGGGCAAAGGTCCTTGGTGCATCCTGGGCTTGGAGTCCCCTGTATAGCTTGATGTTCTCCTCGCCCACTACATACACAACTTTGGCCTTGAAGCCTCCAGCCATTTTATGCTGGGTAACAACCTTTAACACTTTCACCCGCGCTGGCTCCTCCCCAGCTTGTGCTGGTCTTGGGGCCTGCGTGGTGTGGGACATCTGGGTCTCCTTCTGTCCCAGTGAGAGATTACTCCGCATCTTCTTGAGCTCTGCCTGGTCACTCTCTGGTCTTTCCGGCGCATCAAAGATGCCTGCAAACATAGAGGTAGAAGCGGTAGAGGCCTCCTGGCCCTCTCCCTGGCCCTCTCCCTGGCCTTCTCCGCCGCCCAATGCTTCCAGCCAGTCTTTCTCATCCAGCAAGCCGACCTCTTGCACTTCCTCCTGATCGGAGATGTCTGCTGGGGCTTCTGCAGAGAGAGCCGCTGCCTGTCGCTCGAAGGCTTCTTGCAGGAGACCTTCATGCTTCTGCTTGAAGTTCTTTTGCTCCGTCCTGGCTTGCTTTGGCACCAGGCTGGCGCCGCTCCAGCCTGTCACCGCACTCAGGGAGCCATCGGCTTCACCAAGAGATCGGCACAGCAAGGCGATGCGATCCCAGCGCGCAAGTGGTTGAAAGATCCTCTCTGGAATGCTTTGCTGCAACTGCTTGCTGAGCTCAGCGTCGGAGAGCCGAAGCAAGGCAGCCAGCTGGATGCAGTCGGGGAAGTCCTTGGCAGCCACCGGCATAAAGCTTGCCGCTTCCAGGCGGCTACTAGGATCACCTGGGCTGCTGTTAAGGAACTTAAAGTAAGTTAACATAATATGGGTATATACCCTAAACCTCAACATACCTATAGTCCCCCTTAAGTAGATAGAATATGGCTTTGGGTATATTATAATAAGATCCCCATATACCCCATATTCTATCTACTTAAGGGGGACTATAAACCCCAAGCAGCCCAGTCTCCTGGGCCCACAATCGCAAAGTTCTTTGAGGCTTTGTCGCCCCGATCACTTCTTGCCTTCAGAGCATGTGCCGTGAGGTGCCACGGGGCCAGCTGCAACTGTTCCTGGGTTGCTGTTAAGGAACTTAAATTAAGTCACTATGTTGGGGCTCAGGGTTTTGGGTTTAGTTAATATATTGGGGAACCCTATTCTTTACTATATAGGTACCCATTATGGTAACTTAATTGAAGTTCCTTAGCAGCAACCCAGGTTCCAAAACCCACCGCGCGCACAAGAGCAGATTGGAATCCCCTCCTGCGCCAGCCCTCAGTTGCTCCAACCTCTCCAGCTCCTGTAACGCTTTCCTTACTGGCGCTTAAAGGGAGAGTGGGGGAGTGGATCCCTATCATAATCCCTGTAGAATCCCGATATGTATATATATATATATATAGATAGATAGTCCCCCTTGAGTAGATAGAATATGGCTTTGGGTATATTATAATAAGATCCCCATATACCCCATAGTCTGTCTACTTCAGGGGAACTCTATATATCTATCTATCTATCTATCTATCTATCTATCTATAAAAACACGCCTATAGTGGTACCTATATCCACTCCTTAACTCTAAACCCTAAACCCCTGAAAATCCCTAAACACCCCTTAAGCTCCGGTGAGTTTCTGGACCTTCTTGTCATTTCCGATCTCAATGCCCAGTGCCTGCAGGCGCTCCTGCCCTCTCCTCGACGCATCCAACAGGCAAATCATCCTGGGTGGCCGTTTAGGGTTTAAGGGTTTAGGGGTTTAGGGGTTTGGGGTTTAGGGTTCAGGGGTTTAGGGTTTAGGGGTTTAGGGTTTAGGGGTTTAGGGTTTAGGGGTTTAGGGGTTAGGGTTTAAGGCCTTGGCATAGTAAATACCATGGTTTCCCCCCAAAAGATGGGCATAGAGTAAATAACCTGGTTTGCTGATTATAGAAATGTGTCTCAAGTTCCTTTTAATGGCAACCCAGCATCTCTGAAAGTGTGGTGAGGGGTTCAACGGATCGGGTCTCCTTTAGCTCCGTCCGGGCTGAACCTGTCTCTGGCCACCACTGCAGAACACTCTCCTGGGTTGCTGTTAAGGAACTTAAATGAAGTTACCATAATGAGTATAGATAGTAAATAGTAGGGCTTCCCCAATATAGCAACTTAAATTAAATTGGATTCCTTCATAGCAACCCAGTCTCGCCCACGGCGTCAAATATGGCTGCATCCACGTCTTCTAAGATGTCACCCGAAGACTCTGTCTGCCACTTCCTTGTGGCCTCACCATACATCTGCCGAATGCACTTGTTGCGAAGCATTGCGTAGTCTCTGCCTTGGAAGGTGGGGACCTGCTTCTTGGGCTCAACCTGCCCAACAAGACAGCATACCTCCAGGTTTCGAAGGTATAGCTCCCATGACCCTGAGCACCTACTTCTCACCAGTAGGAACTTGCCATCAACATTGTGGCGGAATAGTGGGGCTCGCTGGAGGACCGAGTCCATGGTTACCATCCCTTGCCCGGGACGTAGGTGCACTCTGCCCGAGTAGATACCTGGGAGCATGGAGTCCTTTACCTGGGTTGTAAAGAAAGGAACTTAAGTCAAGTTACTATAATCAGGAAAACCCTCCCATACTAGTATTATTTTAGCTGAATTTAAATTCCTTTACAGAAGCCCAGCTACAGTAATAGGATGGCAACAGCCCAGAGGACCCAAAGGACCAGGATCATTTGCCTCCAATGTTTTGGCACGTTGGGCTTGGTAGGCTTTGACTTGATGGCCCATGCCCACATTCCTGAGGTTGCTGTAAGGAATTTAATTTAAGTTACCATGATATGGGATGATATAGTATACAGAATGGGGTTTCCTTATCATAGTAGCTTAATTCACGTTCCTTAACTAACAGCAGCCCAGGTTCAAAAGCACCAGAGGGAACTCCTCGACATATTCGTACAGGACAAAGGGCTGGCCAGTACGCAAGGACAGTTCAGTGGGGCTCGGGGCAGACTGGCCTGACCAGTGTTTTCCTCGGATAGCCTGGCCGACCTGGGTTGCTGTTACGGAACTTAAATGAGGTTAACATAATATGGGTACATAGTAGATAACAGGGCTCTTATTGTAGCAAATTAAGTTACCATAAGATGGGTATATATTAGATAAAAAAGCCTCCCTTATTATAGCAACTTAACTTAAATTCCTTGACAGCAACCCAGCAACTCGGGTCGGGATGGCCGAGGTTCCTTTCGACGGAATGGGTCTCACCAATCTGCCCCACAGCGGCTGCGCACAGCTTTGCATCTGGGTGCCCTCTGTCTCGGCATCAGATCTCAGACGAATCCTGGGTTGCTGCTAAGGAACTTGAATTAACCATAGTGGGTACATATCGTAAATCATATAGTAACTCAATTTAAGTTCCTTAGCAGCAACCCAGAATCTGGCTACCACTCTTGTAACGAGCCCAGTCGGGCGGTTGAAGAGCTGGGGCAATTGGAGTACTTGGAGCAATTGACTCCTGCTGAGGCGGTGCTGGTTGGAAGCAACGCCAAGCCTGGCGACAGCGCCGCGAGAAATGCTCGTCCCCCTTGGCGCGGCTGTCATTGCGAGCTTCCGCAAGCCCCAGGCCCTCCAGCAGCATCAAATGAAAGTCAGGAACCTGCAGAAGCTGATGGAGGGTACCTCAGGCTGACAGGGACAAAGACATCGTAGGATGTTTTCTGTACATATGCCGGGCCGCTTTGTGAGGCATCCGGGAAGCCCATGCGCTCGGAGTTTGCCCACAAGCCGGCCGGTCCTGCTCAAGCAAGTCTAGGGCAAGTGCAAACGCATCGAAAACCCTGATTATTAGTATTACTACGTATATTATGATTCCGTTCAATATATCTACTACCATTATTAATATGACTACAGTACTAACACTACGACTATTACTATTACTATTTATGACTATTACTATTGCTAAATACTACTGATAGTTGCCGCAAGGCTCCTCTTGCCAGAACTTTGTCAAGGGCAGCCGGCGTCTCTCCACCTCAGGGAAACTTAGGGTTTTGGGTTTAGGATT